GTGCCTTCTTAAGGGGCCTTCTTAAGGGGGGCAGGATGTGGTATCTCATCAGGGAGAGGGAAACCGGGTCAGTGGACAAAACTAGCGTGCGAACAGCCGCACACTCTCTTTGACACTGGCCTTGGTAGAAGGTCGAACCCGCAACCCCCTACGAGCTGAGGACGTCAACGACGAAGGGGTTAGCGGCTACTCTTGTTTCTGTACCATCTCCTCCCGACACTTGCGCGCTATTGCAAACCCCTAGCAATAAAGTGTCGTTTTGTTGACCTAGCCTGTTGCCTTATTTGCCCGAACCCGTGTAGCTGCAACAAGACTAGCTACAGATATGGGGACGTTAATCGAGCACGGTGCGACTGTGTGCGGCTGAAACATTGGCTAGGCTTCTGCGTCAGTCAGCCTTACATAGGACGGACCCCCCTACAAAGCTTGTGCACTAGAACAATACGACACCGATTCAGACAAGGCATAGACGATCGGGTACTGTGAGCGGGTGACGGTATAGGGAAATGGTCGGTCTCTCTAGGCCGGCAATGCCAACGGTAGTGTCATTAGATCAGCGATAAAGAACTGAAATAGTCAGCCAACCTGTCTTTGAAAAATCTGTGAAAACACGGGCCTCGCCTGGCGATGTGGGGTGCTCAGAGTAGCGCGGGGGTGGGGGAGTGGAACTGATGGAGGGGATGTAACAAAAGTAAAAAAAAAAACTGTTGGGGAGAGCGAAAACTAAAGGGCTGTTAAAGAAGGGTCGGCTTTTAACAAGAATCTATGGGCACCTTGCTGATGACTTATCAGTGGTCGAAAGTAGAGTCCTAGGAGGTCGCCGAAGAGCAGACTCTGTACGCTCTGACTGATTGGCAGTGCTATACGACTTGCGTTTCAGGGGAGACGCGGGTCGAAAAGTTGCAGTTTTCCGAAAATTTTTTGCTTTTTAACATTGGTTGCATTGGCATCCTTTGACTATGATCTTTCAGTTCTGAAAATATCAAGCTTAAATTTGCATGAGAAATGATCTAAAGATGCTTCCAAGTGGGGAGCGGTGACGCGAGAAATGCACGAAAGTCGCCAAAAATGGCGTAGTTCGCGTTGTCCTGTCGCGAAAGCGACGTGTTGGCTGGCATTTGCTATCATGCACGCCTTCTGTGAAGGCTTTCCCCTTCACAATCCACTAGTAGCCAGTCTCGTATCTTTACAATGAATAAATAAAAAACAAGAAAAACAACGCATACTCCACGCAATTTGAATTTCGCGGCAAGCAGCGCGAGGCCGCCATTGCTTTGCGGTGCGCTCCTCCTCCTCCTATTTTTCCGGCAGAAGAGCGAAGCCTCGGACGTCGCGATCGAGTTGTTCGGCGTTTCTGTGCAGTTTTGCGTCAAGGCAAGCCCCGAGAAGCGCGGTCTAGATAATTGACAGAACTCGCCCCAAGTATCGAGGGAAACGGCGTTGGACGCTTTCCAAAGCGACAACGAACGCCGGTGTTACCGCCGACCGACCAGACTTCGGGTAGGCCTAACACTGACACCGAACCCTGCGGCGACAGTGGTTGTGAAATAGCCGCTGCCGGGGAATTCGTCAGTGCATCCCACATGAGGAGGGGATTCTTCGAGAGTGAATGTAGACCAGTAGGTGCCGCTACTGCCTATAGCGCTGCTTTGCGAAATCGATGCGCTGACTGCCCTTGTGGTGGGTGCACAATGCCCAACCTGCCGCAAACGGAAACTAGGTGTTCGAGAGGTAGCTGGAAAGCGCAAAGGGCTTTCGGCATTCCTTGAACTGTGCTGTCAAAATAGATTGTCCTGAATCTACACTTCCATTCACGCTTGTGTCGTGGCGTACTACTTCGGCCAGGGACCAAGGAACGAGCGCTCGTTTCAACAGCGGCAGCTCGCGTGATAGCTTTGCTGTAAACATGAAGGCAATTCTGGCAGTACGCGCTATAGGTGCAGGCAACGACCAACTTTCACGATTTTGTGCGATTCTCGGTCTTCCGAGCATTCATTGCAAGCTGCTTTTTTCATTGCGGCCCAATTGGATGCAAAAAAAAAAAAAAAAATGGTTTCCTAATAAATGCCAACATTCCAAACTTTCAAACTTGTTTTTCTCATTTCCATATTTTTTGACAATTTCACATTATCCGGGCAGCTTTTTAGACATTTATACTTATTGTATAATAACGAAACTTGGCACGCATAATAAACACATGCAGAATGCAAATATCTACTTGAAATTACAATGCCTACCAGAATTGTGAAAATATTACGTTATTGTTTCAAGGGAGGTTGAAAATAGTCATTCAATACAATTTTTTTTTCTTGGTTCTGATATTTCTGCGAGATATCTGGATAGATATTTGTACTTAACAATCTACCAAGAGTCAAATAAGAGGAGACGCAATGCTTTTACTGAAAGTTAAGTACATAAAAGAGTACCTGCTAAACGACTTTTTGCTATCCTGCATGGCATAACTCAATAACTATAGCAGCTACACAAAAAAATGATTGCATATTTGAAATCTTTATGAAAAACTATATTCATAAAAAAATTTTCAAGTCTATGGCTAGACATAAAAAAATGTTCTTTCGAGGAGCGTCTCCCTTTAAGTGCAATCTTGTTCCATTGAAGTAATCTGTGTTTCCACATTTATGTGTCTATTTGTTTTAAGCAAAAGTTCGTTTTATGTTGGGCCGTTATATGGGAGCTTGACTGTATACAGGGTGTCCCACGTAACTTGAGCCAGAATTTAATAGTATGCTCGAACACGGAATTACGACCCGGCCAAATGCATGTTGCTCACCGTTGCCTTGAATTGGCCAGACTATCTTTTGTGTGATTTAAATGTATTTGTCTGAATTTTAAATGTGTGAATGAAGTGTTTGCTGAAGAAAGGAAGTCGCACGAAAAGACAACTCCAGGCAACGGTGAGTAACCTGCATTTGGTCGCGTAGTATTACGTGTTCCGGCATATTTTCAAACTCTGGCTCTAGTTACGTGGGACACCCTGTATAAGTGCGTGGTGTACTGTAAAGTCCCAAGCAAGTGCCCCCTTTAGCTGTTCTCACTGACATTCGTCCAACGAGGGCAAATAGAATTGATTTCATGCGCATACAATAAAACAAATAATTAGAAACACAGGTGTGCATTTTTTATTCTTAGTGGCTGTTTTACTGCTGTCTTGAATTTCGATCCCTGACTGAGCAATGGCACCCTTTGAAATTTTGTCGCATTAGCATTCACAGGGGGGGGGGGGGGGGCTGGGCTTGCTCGAAATTTTACTGCAGTAAGAAATCAAAAGAACGAATGCACATACAGGGTGCATGGCAAGCATTGTCATGTGATCAGCTGCTTGGCAAGCTGGAGTCTATGACCAGTATAGGTGGCCCGCTCCAGGTCGCATTACAAGTGCGACAGCAGGCGACCTCCATTTCAGGCAAAAACTACACTTAGTTGGCTAATGAGATATGGAATGGTCGACAGTAGTGAGGGCTGTACAGCACTTGTAGTGAGGGCTGTACAGCCCTCACTACGGCTGTACAGCCCTCAAAACTCTTGTAGTGAGGGCTGTACAGCACGGACTATTTCTTCTTCAGATGTTGTGTAAAGCCTAATCATATTGTGCAAACCCATCGCTTGTGTTCAATATCATGCCTGCGAACACACGAGAGTACGAAACACTGTATCACCGGCACTTTTTCATAAAGGGCTTCGGCTTGCTTCTGCCAACATCGGGTTGAAACAAGTGCCTCTGTGATAGCTTTCTTTAGATGTCACGGACTTGCTTGCTGTGTCATCTGCTGCAGACCGAGGCAGGGGTGATCCAATTATTTTTCGGCTTTCAGAAGAAATTGTGCAGGACAGGAGGTAGTCAATGCAAACTACCTGCACAGTCCTTGTTGTGGGATGCAGACTAGTGTCGGCAATCCAGAGCTCGCGTACCTTCCTTAAAGGAGCCCTGCAACACTTTTTGAGCATGGCAAGTAAACGCTGCTGATCGATAGTGAAGGCCCCCAACAACACGCGGGCCAAATATTATAGCGCAGCACGCAGCCTGGAGTTCACAATAAATGATCAAGGTCAGCTAAAAATTGCTTTCTCTTCTCTCGACAAATCGCGGAAGACGCTCTAAAATCACTCTTGAAAAGCCCATCTATCAGCCATTGGCATTTGAACATGGCGCGCTTGGTCATTACAGAGGTTGCCGCGGGAGGCCGCGACTTGTCCACGCGTGCGCGTGCGATCACACTGAAAAAGTTGGTGTATCCGAAAAAAAAAAGAAGAAAAAGTGCTTAAGGTCACAAGGTGCATGTAACTTTTTTCTTTGCCCCTACCATCTCATCCTGCTTAGCTTCCAGCGCTTTCGTTGGGACGAGAGAAGAGAGGATGCAATTGCAATATGCGACAAATTTTTGTAACTTCACTCGCGCTGGACGAATTCTTAAAATTCTTGCGGCGTTGAATTCGTGAGGCAACAAGGTCTTCTAGTGAATTCATTTCATAATTACTTGAACAAGTGTTTCAGGGCACCTTCAATTGTGTCTCCTTGAACTTTTTCACTCACAAGTGGAGTTCACTCAAACAGCACAGCACTTGTGTCAGTGCACTGCGAGCACCTGCCACAGCTGATTATCTGCTCAAGTTCGCTATGCGGCTGATTGCAAGACAAAGTTTGCTACACCATGCAATTTGAACACTGTTCTTTTTCACTTGCTTCTGTTACTATGATGGGTGCCATTACTCTTTAATGACTTCATGCTTTTTTACAGCGCATAGTGGTGCAGGCGCTAGCTGGTCAAATTTTACTCTCATCTTTTAGCAACCCGAGTAACACAAGCTTTCTTTTTTACACACAGTTTCAAGCAACGTCCATACGTCATTGAGAGCCTAAAAACAGTAAAAATGGGTGTTTGATGAAACCGTTTTCGAGTTTGTTAATGTTCTGAAGTTCAGCCTATTGAAAAGTCTGGTGATGACTATGGTTTTTTTTTTCTTTTACATGGTGATTGAAGAATCGGAGGTCCCAAAGAGAGAACTGTCAGGGGGTAAGCAGTGGATCAGTTCATTGGTTGGCAAACAGTGGCATATTGGAAGTAAAATATATAGGAAAAAATTTAAAGAATAGTGACAGGTTGCTTTTAAACTTACAATTGATGATAACTCATTTAAAAATTTAATTTTAAGTGTCTATAAAATGTGTGAATTGTACAAGATTTTAATTTCGAAAGTAGAATGTTCTGCTGTGCTAAATACTGAAAGATCTTGCCATAATTGACCATAATTTGTTTGTACTTCAGGTAAAAGTAGATAAGTAAGTCGAAAAGCTCATGTTAGTATTTACAAGAGGGACTTAAAAAAAACTAGCAATAGGAAATTCGTGAATTGCAAGACAAAACATAATTAGAATTTTGCAATTAACAAGTCTAAGGGGAGACACTTTTCTTGAAAAAGTTTATTTCTTGATTGATTTTGGTGGAACTTAGTAAGCTTATGTATATTTGTGTACTGATTTCAAACATGCAAATATTTTTTTGGTATAAGATGTAGTTTATAAAATACCAAAATATTTTGTTTTTTTTTTGGGGGGGGGGGGGTGGAGAGATTTTTTTTTTTAACCGAGAAAGCTACACAGTATTAAGGAATCTGAGCTTGTTGCATTGCAATAAAAATGGGTGCTCTAAATCAATTTGAACAGAAGTTGTGGTAGGTGGGTGAGTTAATTTTGGGAAAGCATTGCTCTGGCAAACATACCCCAACTTTTCTTCTAATAAGTCTGCAACATCAATTTTAGTTGCACTGCAATCAGAATCAATTTCAGATTATTCTGATATGCAAATTTATTTTGTAACTCTTTTAGTTTGGAAAGAAAGCTAGCACCCAGAAGGTTCAGGAAATATTTTGTATTTGAGGAACTGTACTTTACACAATAAAAATAATTGCATGTATGGAATTGGCACACAAATATACACATGCAGCAAATTTTATCAAAATGGATCAAGAAATTAAAAAAAAGTTTGAAGTGCGATGTTCCATTTTCAGTGCAAAAAATGGAGGTTGGTTGTAATTGGTTGAAGTGAGAAGTCTTGAAGCTTGCTTTTGTAGGCGTACAAAGTGACTGAGATGCGACCTGTGTGTATTGCGTCATAAGGATGGGCAGCAGTAAGATCGGTGACTGTGAATAAATGCCTGATACAAGGAAGATTCTAGTTGCAAAACTTTGTGAATTAACGACTGTGCATGCACCCTGAATTTGAAATGTGTGAATGAAGTGTTCACTCTTGAAAAACCAACCGGTAATATAGCAAAGTATTGCATAGGGGCTGTACTGTTGTAAGTGTATTGCCTCTTGGCGTAGACGGGAAGAAAGGAAGTCGCACGAAAAGACAACCTGATGCTGGCACGGACCGAACCTGCAACCTTTATATTACACGTCTGGCGATTTTAGCAACTGAGCTACAGCAGTAGTCATCCTCTCCTCCACTTGATTGAGCACTTACGTCAATGCAAACCTGGGCTGTTTGACAGTGCAGTTCTTCGCCGTGAAGGCGAGCATGGAACACTTTTTGCCGGGTGGCATCACAGCCATGTGCTACGTAACTACTTCCTTCACATGGTTATTTACTATGTAACGCTCTTAGTTTAGGAAAACTATGGCTCCCGAAAAGCATATTGAGTGGTTTTAAAAAGTACATGTTATACTAGAAAAATAAGTCTGGGCACAAATATACACATTTTTGGCATCTGAATTAATGAAGCATTGAAAGAATATATTTCAGCCCACATGATTTTGTTGTCAGTAAGCTTACATACAGGTATTTCGTGCCACTCACTGAGTTTGGGATTTTTTCTTAAGTTCAACAGCAAAGTGTATACTCCACTTAGTCTTTGATAGGAATAAATTTTGTGACGGAGTGCGTAGCCTACCAGCTCTTCGAGTTGCGAAATAGGTTAAAAAGTGTTTCTTGTGATCGAAACTTGCCTTCTTTTTTGTTTAAGCAAACAAAAATAGTTTTCTTCAAACTGACCGATGTCCTGAAGAACAGACTTTTGGCTAGTTGTGTTACATTCAAAGGAGCAGCCATAGAGCTGATGAGACAGGCAACACAGTAGGAGCACAGGATGAGCGCTACCCACAACTGAATATTTATTTCAGGATTGTGAGGTACTTACACAGCCATGAAAACAGCATATAACACGAGAGAAACTGTAACAGCTGTGCAAGCCTGCATTATTTAGATACGTAATTTCCTTTGCACTCAGGGCCATTGAGGGCACGGTGACACAGATGGCATTTTCTCTTGCAATCTACTAGGCCTCGACAATCTCTGGCGTATCCTTATCAGTCACATATTTATTTAACAGAGGTCGGCAGCCGTTGTCGCTGCAATGTGCTAATACCTACAGTCTACTGCTACTGTTTTCTGTTTGTGCTCTGTGAGCGTATGACTTTGAGCGTATGACTTTGGGATCATTATGCTGGTTTAAAAACTCGTGCCTAGACTTAATTTTATCAAAATTCAATGTTGGCTGGGACCTTAATTTTGTTCTTATCTTGGCACACCCAGTTGCAGCTTTTCCTGCTAATAAATTGTAGCATGGTTTATTTTAATCCTAGCTGTAATATTTCATCGAAGTGCTGTATTTTCTATTTATGATCTTACACTTGAACAGCTGGAGACTGTTTGGTCAAAACCGTAAGAGAAGAAAAATTCTTAGATAGGTTTGAGTGGCTGGAAAGCTGTTGCCAAAAGACAAGTTCAAGTTAGAGTTTGCAAAAATATTATTACTAATCAAGAACAGATTTTCTAAGTAAGGAGACTGCATGAGAGCCCCTGTAATTACATAAAATTAGCAGGAAAGTGTAAATTCAAATAAATAATTAAAATCGGCTAAGAGCAGAGATATGCGTGGATAGTAGAATAAACCAAGACTGAGGGCTGGCACGAACTTCCAGCTGTATGTCTGAATGAAACAAAAATAAACGTTTCCCACAAGATTGACTGTTCTAAGCGCCTCCATATTGTAATACAGGCACACCCCCTCACATACCAACAGATTCACACCATTGTCATGCGCAGATATGTGGACAAGGAGGCCGCATTTGTAGAAGGACATGAAGCAGCGATTAAAAGTGAATAAATAGAACTCTCAGTGACACTTGAACCAAATGAAGCCATGGAAAAAAAAGCTGCCTTTTTGCAAACAATGTCGAAGTTGGTGTCAGTATTATATTTGACCTGTTTTTGAAATTTTGTGGGAGTCAGCACCTACAGGAAAAGGTTTGGTGACCACAGTGTTTGTGTGAAGGCATCAAAGTCGTAGAAGTTTTGATGTTCATGGCATTGCTTGCGACGGATGCAAAGAGTAAATATCTGGTGTTCGAGCAAGAATCGAATTCAGGCTTCGTGCATGGGAGTCATTTGTACTGAGACGAGAGCCGCACCAGCGTTTGAAGCTGCCTTGAGAAAAAGCCCTGTGTAGGGCAATGAGTTGCATTAACCCGTGTAATGTTGCAGTGGAGAAGTGCATCATGCATCAGATTTGCTAAATGCTCACTCCTTGTAAAGCACACACATAATTGATCATCATCATTAGCCATAACATCAACCAACTGTGCAGTAGCATAGATGCACATATTTTCTTAGGAATGCGTAGTGGCTACTTTGCTTTTCTGCAGAATAGCCAGTGTGATGTGCAGAGACGTTGCTCTCCTCATGGCATGCTTGAGGGTTACCATTGAAAAGCAAACTCGGAGGACTGGGCCCTGTTACACTATTTAATTCCACCCTTGAGACGAAAGTACGTCCTGCAAGTTTTTTAGTATGTCATTTGTCATTTAAGCAGTGCCCCCTTCTAGCCTGTGCAGTGTGTAAACCTTCCCACAGGCCAGTGGAGTTTTGTATATGTGTGACATTCGGCGCACACGCCCTTCTAAGCCATTTGACGTGCTTCATGCAAATAGCCTTGTTTCGTGCCTCGGTGTGCTCGCTTTTGCTGGCCTACAGGGAGGAGTAAAAGCTCGTGATCTCCTACAGAAATTGTGCAACTCATGCTAGATGATGTAGGGCATTAAATATAGCCTTGCTTTTCTTCAATAAGAAACACTATCTTGGGCTCCGCATCACCTGGAAAATCTGGCACAAATGGAGATCCGGCAAATTCATAACCTGGGCCTAGGCTGCTCTCGAGGAGCACCTCTCCTCACCGCCTCGCGTGTTTGCTGGATGGCGTACAGTTGATCCTGAAGGTTGCAGCTGCGCAGCACAGCCGTTCACCACACCGCAGCCTCATCTGGGGAGACTGCATTTTCTTCTGCTAAAGCTGCACATTCCGAGAGTGTGCTCAAGTGATGCGCGAGTCCAGCCACAATCTGCAAGTATCATCTGGACAGACTTCTGAATATATCCTCTTAAAATGCATGGGGTTTAGGAAAGCCTGGGTTTGCAGTTGCCTCCAATCTAAAGCTTTGGATCTGTCGAGTTTGGGGCTTGATGGTGGATAAATATGCCTAGATTTTTTATAAAAGTTCATAATTTCGCAGTATTGGGTTCCTCTCTGTTCCTCTCTGTCCAGCCCTCCACGGGATACCCATCCCCTGAAGAGGACCTTTCTACGCGAGTGCGGAAAGTGAGACCTTGCACTACGTGATGGGCTTCCCCGGTCCATGGGAGTGTGGGGAGACGCGTGAATCGAGAACCATATATGTCATCCTTCTGCCTCTTCGGAGGTTATATACATTGCGTTGGCTTTAAGGATAGCTGCGGCCTCTGGCGAAATTCTGCCTTGTGCATAATTTCTGACCGCTGTCTGCGAATCACTTAGGATATATCAGCTATTGGGACAAACTATAGCTAGGGCTGTTGCTAGCTAGCTATTGCAATAGCTAGGGCTATTGCCAGTTCTTCCGCTACCTCAGGGTGTCTGCTTTGTACGTTACATGAGCTGACCAATTGTTTGTCAGTATTGAGGACTTGCACTGCGAAGGCATGTAGATCCGTGTATTCTGTAGTGTCTAACAACAGTGCCTCCTTGTCCCTACAAAAAG